AACTAATACAGGTGGTCTAATGAATTACGCATACATAGCTTTTCCCATTTAAGTATATATCACTGTATAGCATAAATTCAAAAAGCTTATTGTAAAGCAAGTCAGATATTTGAAGAGGACACAAAAGCATTAACCTATATAACCAATATAAGCAGCTGAAACCAGCGCTGCTTAGTCCAGAGTATTAAGAATTTATTCTGCTTTTCTGCACAGTAATCAATTTCTACTGCTGTGAAGCATTTCCTATCAGACAAATTTCACAACCACATGACTCAGGATAGACTGACAGTGTTGCAAACCCTTTGATAGCAATATATTTGGAATACCACATTTAATTTATTTCTCCTAACATTAGTCAGTTACTTAAGAAAACACATGCAATGGATAGTTGCCATTTAAAATGTCAACACAGTATTCCATGTAAAAGGATAGAAGCCACTAAGATTACAAATGGATTATTCTTAAGAATTTTTTCATTTTTCTTATTTTTCAAAATGGTATGTAGGTGACTAAAAACACTTAAATGAACATTTTACTTTTCAGAAAACAGCTGAGAATATTCTCACATGACACAGCTGATAGAACAATCCTCTGTAATAATATGTTTCAATTAGTATTTTTGCATTTTTTTGCATTATTGAATTCTTTATAGATGTCCATCATAGTTCTTTAATCTCCTGAGTTTCCACAAACATTTCTTCCGTTCGTATTAATGGAAGATGTGCACAACTTTGGAAAACAATATGACGTTGGTAGTGTGAATAAGAAGGAATTCTCTTGCATCTTCATGTATGAGGTGATGTGACCCATGAACAATAACTGGGATTTATGCTCCTTAGCACCTCAAAGCTGTTACATACAACTGAATGTGGAATCGTTCCTCACTCTGTCTGTAATAGTGCTTTAATTCTTAACCTCTACTTAGGTCAGTCTTTGGGGTTTTTTGTTTTTAACACATGGTAGTCATGTTAAATGACAGCTATGATGCCACAGAATGCCACTTTTTCAACTCTGTATTATTCACTTTGTCCTTTCCTCTGATTTACTTGCTGAAACTGCCCACATAATACATTAAGTCACCTAGGTCTCTGCCCACATAGTCAACACAACCACAAATATGAATATAATTTGAGTAGTGGCGCATAAACTTGCTGTAACAGCTTCCACACTGTTTGACAAAAGGAATCTATATTCTAAGTCCCAGCAACATGAGTGCCATGAAAGAAAATGCAAAGCAGCCTGACAAAGGCATGTGCACGCACCCATAGCTGCACATTCCTCCCTCGTGCACTAAACCAGCTGTGTGTGCTACACCTACACATACTGGCACATGCCAGCACTCCAGTTTTAATAGGACCTAATTTTCCCTATGAAATGTATCTCTGTAACTTGAGGGAAAGTTCAAGCAATTCTGGACCAGTTCCACCAGAAGACAGCGAATGTCTGCATTCCCCATCAGAGGGACCCTTCACCCTTTGAATAACATCAAGAGTTACCTCTTGCAGTCAGGATGTCCTGAAAATATCCCTAACAAATAACTGGTGGTAAGCAAAGCTACCAGTCAAGAGGCAGCGAGTCACTGCTGCTCCTTCCCATTGCCAGGAAAGCAGTACCAGACCCAGCAAAACCAGCAGAATTCCCAGTAACAGAACCACCTCCTCGCCTACCAACTCACCAGCTCAAGTTCCACAAGGTCCTTTATTTCATGTACTACTCGTCCACTACTTTCCCGCAGCACAGAACTCTCTGAGCTCCTCATACTCATTCCCCACCTCAGGAACTGCCACAAACTTTTCAGGCAGAGACTGAGCTAAGCCACCCCAGCAGCACAGTTTGCAGGACAGCCAACGTTTCACAGTGGTACTTTGTATGTAGATGCTGCTTCATCCAAGAACACACTTCATCCAAGAAGCCAAACATGCTCACAACCACCAGTCTCGGCATTTGGGTACAGGGAAACTAAGGCAGAGTTCAGGTATCGGGTACCCGGACCAAGTGAGACTAATAAAATCTGTGTGTCCTGATCATCAGTTTAACCTCTAGATAAGTTACTTGTAAATCATAAGCAGCATGAAATTTTTTAAAGTTAAGGTCAACTTTACTAGAGGAACCTGGAAAATTGGAATTTCATTACAAATATAAAAAACAACAAAAAAAAAACCAAACAAAAAAAATTCCCCACACCTTTAGGACCTCCTTACTTTACATTTCAAACCACACTAAAACCCCTGTTCTGTAAGATTAAGATGTCAAGTATTAAAGGGATTAAAAGCTCCATCACACCTTTGTATATCCTAGATCCAAAATACCAAGCATAAAAGTGTTCATCTGTGAATTCTAGAGTTTTATGGTCATTTATTTTACATCAATACACGTACTGTTTCACACACCACTTATTCCTCAATCTTTTACTCAAAACTTAAGCCCTTTGCCAGTGTGCAGAGTACTACTTATGACAGAAAACTTATAAATATGAATGTGAAAAAGACTGGATCACATAAAACAGTAGTAAATTTACTGTAATCTCTGCAGTGAAGATAATTAATTCTATCACCTATTTTACTGGTCAATCTATATTAGAAGGGGTTTTTTTAATCAGTTGATATATATTGCCAAATCAAATAGGTGCCATTTTGTAATGTTTCTCATTCTTTATAATAAAGTGTATGAATAATTTTAACATTAGATTTATGAGTCCTGCTAATGTCAGGTCTGCGTGCCACTAAAGAAATGCCTTCATAAACGGTGAGATACATTGACTCATTATAAGGAGATGATTAGGGCTGCTGATCACATATTTCTCATGCTCCAGATAAGCTCAGCATCGTATAGTTAAGCATGATCGCTAAACCTGTTCATGCTTTGAACACACCGAGATAATCAGCTACACGATCCCCAGCACAAAAGCTGGAGCACACACAGAGCTAAGATCAGTGATTTAAAGGCGACGCACAAAAGAAACGCTCGGTTTCAGCAGCAGATAGATCAGACTGGGCTATTTCTGATTTCCTTGCATTTAAAAGTACTACAGTTTAAAAAACAAAAGCATAACATACAACGCTAAAGGCACTCTTTCCATGAAATAGGTTCAAATGCCTCACAGCTCTTCTAACACCACAACTGTCATTGTATTTAAACCGTATTTTTTAAAAACTCTGAATAGGTAGCAATTTATCGGAAATAGATTATCTTCTGGTGGCCTTAAACATACTGGCTCCCAGTAAAAAGGTAGAAGCACTTCCATGAAAATTAATCTTAAACTGGAGCGTGCACAGCCCAGGTTCTGTACAGCCAGGTTATCTCCCTAAGCCTCAGCCTTTCTGACCGAGAACAATAGTGACCATGCACACGGTGTTGGATTGTTTCAGCCCCACTGTTATCAATGTAATTCTCAGCAACAACAAAAAAAGACATTGAGAGGACCTGTGTATCTCTTACAGCATGTCCCTACAGTAGCTGAAGCACAAGCTTATCTGCAAGCAGACAATACAGGCTTAAAAGTACTAATATTGTAGGTATTAGACTGGAATACTATTGGAGAGTACTAGCCTTTACAGTAATTTCCAGATAGGAAAGTCATCTACACAGTGAAATTTAAAGCAACTCTTCCTCATTTCAAAAGAGCTGCTTCCTTAAATAAAGGCAGAAGCAATTCAGTACCCTGTGCTTAGTATAGTTTTATTCCACAGAAGGAAAAAAAAGCCACCTGTATATGCTAACACAGAACTCGCAGCAACAAAAGGTGAACAAAAGCTGCATCAAGAGTTGGCAAGACAAAGGCATATTGTCACCATGTGTATTAAAATACTCATTTATATGAAGCTACTTTACAGGGACAACCTGTATAAACTGTAAAAGGATTCAGATATGAACGATTTATATTTATGTTTTAAGCTTTTATTGGAACTTTCAATTTGTATTAAGGCTAAGACTTTAAAGAATAAAACAAGACCAAACAGGATGATTTCTTCTACACAAGAAGTCACACGAACAAAAGTGCAGTACAATACAGCAGGTGATTTCAAGCTCAATTTCCAAGTGCAAATGTCAGGAGGAAGAAATGTTAGCATATACACTATAAAGAAAGACTGCCACAGCCTCAAAGCTTAACTTGTTAATTCAAGATCAGCTCTACAAATTAACAACAACACAAACTTTTCAAATGAACATATACAATATTATTATGAATATGGCTTAATCTGAACATTTTCTCTAGGTTTCAACAAGAAGGGAAAGACTCGACACAACATCCATCATGAAACATCCAGGATAAAATCTGGGGGGGTCTACACAGCAAACAAGAGAAAATTCTGAGTGCCAATGTCATTTAATATACAACAGGGTATTTTGCCACAGGGTAGTCTCACGAAAAAAATTCCCACCTTATTATCCTCATTTCTCTCACTTACATGTATGCTGGAGAAAGTGGCGATGACCTGGATGTTTTAAGCACAGGAACTGGGAATTTCCAGATAGCAGGAGAGCTCGTTTTCCATTTCAATGGCATGTTGTCACCACGGTACTACAATAACAGTAAACAGCGTTTCCATAACAGACTACCAACTAGGACTTCCATTCCACACACTACTGACACAGCAGTGGCTGCTGCTAAGAACAAGGAAATGATTCTGCCAATGCCCTTAAACCGATGCTTCCAATCTGTAAAACAGGGCTGCAAGGCATCTCCTTTTAAATCCTGCTGTCCCCTAAAGCAATATGATGATTCTATCCTTCTAACTCAACAATAGTGCCACCTCGTTAGGGAAGCACTGACTGCAGTATATGCTTTAAAAAAAAAGAAAGACTGCACTGTGCACACCAGCACAATGCAGCTTTATTTAATAAAAGCAGCTAATTTTTAAAGAACTGTTTCTGATGCTATTGTTCTACCTTAACAGGAACACTGCAGCACTGTACTATATTCTCTTCCTATTAACCTCATTTCTGACCAATGGAAGCAGAAAAAAAAATGGGTTTCATATGAAAATGAAACAACATACCTACTCAGAATACACTTGTCATCCTCTGAACATTCTTCTTTTGAGCTGCAACAATACAAATGGGATATAAATCTCAGCATAGCCTTAGGCCACGGCTAATAGAGATCAGTGACTAAATTCAGCAGCCTGTTTTCCTCCTGTGCAAGCTCTGACCAAACAATACAAGAATGCCATTATGGAAAAAGCCCATTGCAAAAATCAGTCCTTCTAATCCATAGCTAGGAAGACAAAATAAAGCACAAATCGCTGCAGGTTTCTGCATGTTCTTCTAATAGCTTCTGGTTCAGGATGCTCTCATTTTCCTATTCTCATTTCCAAGGAGGATGAGCAAAATCTCATGCATTTTACAACATGCTATGGGAACACAAATATCACTCTGTCTTCTGCAGTAGAGAAGCAGAGACTAGCAGGCTGTTAATAGCAGTCTTTGTAGGAACGCTATCAACAATCTAATTCTCAACGCCCCCCCAGCAGCTCACAAATTGCCTGAAGAACTGACGAAGCAGATGGTCACGCAGGTCCCCATCAGGGACCACTCTGCAACTCAGTGCTCTGCCTGGTGACCTCCCGGGGCTGATGACAGCAGGGAGCATAGGAGGCAAACTATTAAAAAGGGAAGGGAGAATTTAATAGCATATTATGCATAAGCAGAGCAGGTTTCCAGGGAAAAGAAGGCAGAGTTTCAGCTCTATTGATTACCTTACAGGGAAAAAAAAATAAATCACTTGTAATTTATTGCCACAGTCAACCAAATCAACAGTAAGATGTTTAATCTACAGATTTCAGAATAGTCTTTGTACAGCATGACAATATTTCTGTTCATCAGGACAGCTTAATCCCGTCACCAAAAAGCCAACACCCTGTCATGCTACCCAGCAATGAAGAATCAAACCAGGACCTATCTCTATAAATGTCTATAAATTTAATCATTCTAATAACATCTAATAAATGCTGATAGGCTTTTTTGGTAGCCCTGAAACCTCCAACATTAATTTTGGGATGGAATCACCAGGGAATAATTGCTGCTTCTGATCACCAGTATTGAAAATTCTTGACCAAAACAGTTTTGGACGTTTGAAGCTGTTACCACAACCACAGGCAAGGAACTAAAACAACCCAGGATGACCAGAGTCAAGGACTCATTCAAAACCAGCTGCACCTCCTGGACAAACAATTGAGGAGCTCTCTCCCACTTTTTTGAAGAAGTTCTAAATTACACGTGAGCACCATTAACCCAGGCAACAAATTTCACAGGAACTGCTATCTGAGATGCTGAACAGACATCACTGTGTAGGACAACAGTGTTTTATATGCTATAACTATTAAGAAACACTAGTCCTACAGAGCATGCAGTATTAGCATAAAAAGTCATAGTTTCAGCAAAATAATTTATGCATTTACATGCCAACAGGCACGCTTGGCTGCACACATGGTAAACGCTGCGTGCAGTCTCATATCCACACATTACACCAGACTACCAAATCATGCCAGCTCTGCACTGAAGGTCTAGAAGTCAAGTTGAAAGATGTCAGGTAGCAGCTATTATCATCACAAAGAAAAAAATCCCCATTTTGAATTCATACACTCAACTGTCTTAAAATACGATAAGCAAGTGCTGTAACTCCCATCTTCACACTGAGTGCAGCCAGTGCAATAAACTAGTAACTGCTTGTAATATCTCTATTTCCCTGCTCTGTTAACCCCAAGGAGATGATCATGTTTTATGTATTAGCAGTGGCATTACTAATACTAAAGAATGAGGTTAAAGACACTCAATGCACCACTTTTCCAAAAGTAACTCTTGAAATACCCTTTTAACCAGTAAAAGCCTACTCAGGCCACAAAGTCATTGCCAAGCATTGACTGGCATTTAAGTCAATCAAAGCACATCCAGAAATCAGACTTATTTTTCACTTTTGACCCCAAGAAGATCATTCAGCCTACAGGACAAAATGAGTCCTCAAAAACCTGCTCCCCCTTTGGGTGCTTCTGATCCCATTTATTTTTCCAGTAAATCTACAAGCAACCTAAATAAAAACTTTACAGGAAAATCCAGTAGCAGTAAACATTTTTTTGAAAGCACACAAATCCCAAGCACTGCCCAACCAAATCTCCTCCCAATGTCCAGCACACACTATTCAAACTGCCCATGTACAAAATGCAGAATTGAAGAAAGTAGCAACACCAGGTACTCTAAAAATAGAGAAATGCTTTTCAATTGCTAAAGAACAACCATGTGAGAAATGAATCACCTCTCTGCACATAAGGAGAAAAAACAAATCAAATCCCATTTTCTTCCTGACAGTCACAGAGTGGTTGCATATTCACAGGGAAAATACTATTATAATGTATTTTACACTATACATTAACTATTCCTACGACAACAGAAAATCACAGTATATTATTCTGATATTTTAATTAAGACCTCAAAATAACAGTCTAGTTACACATGTAAAAATATGAGAAAAGAAATCTGATCTCCTGGTGTGCATTGCACCTACTGAATATACATTTTCTGTTCTCATATTACAGTGCTTTGCCACTCATCCCCAAATGAACTGGATCTGAGGGCCAAAAGCAGCAATACAGCTCTGTGCAGAACCCTACTTGCTGGGAAAACAGTTATTTCCAGACAAGTGCTCTGAAAATACAACAAACTGACACACAAACTAGAGATTTGCTTTAAAACCCTTAAATGCTGAAGTCCCATGATAACTGCACAGATTACACAGCATCTTGGGACCAAAGAAGGAACTTGTTTTCTGTGGTTTTCTTACAAGCAAGTTCACACCCAAAATTAAAAACACTTATAGCTTGCCTAAAGTTACATTCTACTTATTATCTCAGTCTCTTACATATCCTTTACTCTGTGTACAAAAGATGAGAAAACCTCTGGGTTTTAAGCAACCATTTCTGTGCTTGTGTTTCCAAAGCTGCACTGAGCAGATAGAAAGCAAGGAACTGACAGCGTGTCAAGCACTTCTGCAGAAAATTCCTCCATAAAGAAAAGGAAGAAGTGCATAAGAAGGAAAAAAAAAGTAAATAAGGCCACCAAAGGCAAGATCCCAAGATGCCACTTTACAGACCTGAGATGTTAAGGAAGGCCAGAAGCTACTGACTGGGGCTGTACAGCAGTGAGGCTCTGATCCCACAGTGAGAAGGGACACTGAAGAGCTGTTAAAAGAGCAAAGCATTTCTTAACCCTCTTCCTCCACCCCTGCACCCCAAATCCTGCTTCACCATTGACCAATGACCAAGATTTAGCCCCAAATGAGAGGAGCAGGCGCTCAGCACCATGCTCAGCAAGCACATGATCAAGTCACACACAAACCCAACCACCCCCTGCCAAAGGGCTGATCTCAGCACCATTTCTTCTGCAAGCCCTCCCTGATCTTCAGGGCAGGAATGCAGCTAAACCCACGTCCCTTGTGACTCCTTTTCCTTAGGATATCCTCTTCCTTTTTTTGTGCAACTTGAACGCTAACTCACACTGCTTCGTACATACCGACTGTCAACATGTATGCCTTTGCTGCTTTTTACCTGCATTACAAAAATAAATGCTGTCCTCTTACAGCCCACCACATTTACATTTTTGGAGCATGTATACATCCAACAAAACTTTTAAAACTATCTCTGCATTTCCCATAAGACTTCTCTTCACGGTTGTTCAAAGAAAAAGGCACAGGCAGAAAGATGTATCAGAGCCCAGGCAACGTAAACCTATACTAGTGTGAAAATATTTATTCTTAGCCTCGGAATGCCACATGAAGTTTTGTAGGAAAACTAAGCAGAATAAAAGTCAACTTCCAGAAATGCCGCTGGATTTTCATCAGTTTGCATAGATCGAGTTTAACTTTCCTCAGTCCGTTAAAAACAAAACTGAAAAAAATATTTGCTCACTGAAGTGATTTGGTGCAGTTAGAAAAATTTGCTGTTCCACTCTAACAAGCTACTTACCTCTCTCCTTTTATTCATCTACTAAGTATCAGAGGAACTGAAAGCACTAGATGAAAACAGGGTTATGCTATATGGAAACTTTCTCAAGTCTTGCAAACTGTTTCTAGCATGACCTGAAAAGTCTTCTCACTTCAAGAACCTCAGGCTTCTTTTAGCTTTACAGAAAGAAAAACAGTCAAAGTTACAGAGATAGTGTGATTTACATCTCCTATTTTCATCTACAAATTTAAACAGAAAGGTCTAAATATTTGTGTCACAAATATTATGTGTTTAATATTAGACTGTTTCCTGCTCGTGAAGTGTTTGTATAACAAAAGACACCAGACTCAGATACACAAACACTTTCAAATGGTGGTGGTAAGACCAGTAAACATCTTTAAACTTTTGAGATTCTTTTCCCCAACACCGATGTTCTAAAAACTGAGACAAACCCCTGCTTCCATTTTAAAACAGGTATTTGTTATTATATGACAACCCCCCTGATTTATTAGCACTAGCAAAGCTCACTCTGAACTGAAGGCAGAAAATCAGTTTCACATTGGGAGGAACTGCTCTGATCTTTTCCATATCTTCAAACTACCAGCCTGCTGAGCTGATGCATCCTACTACACAAGGCCTTTTGATACAGAATGAAATAAAGCAGAACCTCCAAAATCCAATAAAGTATTCCCAAAGCAATGGAGCTCAAATGCAATAATAATTTCAATATCAAATCATTTCAGCAGTTTAAATATGGTTGTAAAGACACAAGTCTGAAACTGAACAAATAAGGAGCAAATAAGGATGCATAAAATTTCTCTTCAGGTTCCCTAAAAAAACTGACCGTGTGATAGTTTAATTGGCTTCCTTATTCAGCTCTTTCCCCTTCACATGGGTGCTTCTCATGCCTCTACCTCTGGCTTTTCAGTCTATTAAACTGCAGCTGCTCCAATTACTGAAAGAGAATAATTAAAAGATGGTGTTGACAGTATTGCCCTATATATGAGTCAGTTAATTAATACAATTTCTTTGACCATATATTGTGAAAATATTCACACCAAAATTCATATGAAGGGAAAACAAATCTCTGCCTAAGGAGGAATCCAGCAGAAACCGGTCCTCTTGCAGTAATACTGTAACATTCCACAAATATTGAAGTATAGAGAAAAATTGGCAATATCCACCTGGCAATGCTTTTACTGAAACTGCAACTATTCTAGAAACACCAAGGATCTATCTTGCTAAGAAACAGAGTTTCAGTTATTTTTTTTTTATTTCATTAAGAAATAAGCTTTAAAACAGCTCAAGGCAGTTCTGACAATTACACATTTACTTTGACTTACTATCCACTATGCTGACCCAGAGAATTTTTTTTAATAACTGGAGGTAAAAAAGCCCTCAGACACCAGATATAAGTTACAGCATCTTTTGGAAGCAGTTGTACTGAAGA